TGCAATCATTCTGATTAAATTAAGATTAAACCTCGCTTCACCAGTACTATATTAACAGATAAAATACTCAATGTTCAGTTGTAATTAATTAATAGTTGTCATTGAGTATGTGACCCGCCCGGTGAAATGCCTATCATCGTCTATGTACAAACCTTTTTCATTAGACTCTAAATTACGCACTGAAAAAAGAAAAATATTTGTAATTCATAATCTTTTATAGCATTCAATGTTTTGATAGTAAAAAGTCGTTTTTATTACTGACAAATAAACTCAGTTATTGATTTGAAAAACAAATGAATAAATTGCGTATGATTTCTGTAAACGGATTGATTTTCTTTTCCTTTCTTTTTAATTATTGATTAATTCATTTTTTAATTTAGTAAATAAATAATTTCCTTTGATTAAATTAGGTTCTGCTTATAATTTGCAAAGGTAATAAGTACATGTACACTGCATCAAACAAGAATATTTTGCGTGAAAAGGGGGGGGGGGTTAGATTACCGAGATCTTACTTCTATACCTGGATAAATATAACGGGCACTTGTTTCAGTAAGCATACCATTGGAAAAAAAATTATTATAGAAACAAATGCTCGTTCTAAGAAAAAAAAGATATCCATATCTCCAGCGGGACCCGATACATGTACATTTAACTCGTTAAATGCATTTTATTCAGAATGGTAAATATATCGTTTCATAACAGAGTTGAACTTTAATTTATCATAAAATTTTATATGGTAGAGAAGCCGGGGGATAGGTATTGTAATTCTTTAGTTCTCTTTTGAGGCATTGTGTTTATCAAATAAAAACAATATATCCATCACCTTGTAAAATTCTTGATTTCAAACCCCGTCTAGCCAAAATAAAAAAATGTAATCAATAGTCGCGGCTCTTAACAATACATTCAATATACATGTATACATGTCCAATGACCAAAAACTAAAAAAAAAAAAATATGCTCTAGAACTGCGTGATTAATAAATCAACTAATACATAATTATTCAGGATTTATTTCTTTATAATTTTTTGTTCACGAATACACTGGCAAATTAATTCACTGTTTACAGACAATCGGTTAAATTTAAGAAATAAAATCCATGGGTATTTATTTCTACCCATTAAATACTAATAAAACAATTTAATTCATGAATTATTGTCGGTTGTCATCTTAGCCATGATTGACAAGAGGTAATATATGTAGCAGAACACGTTTTCAGTTCCCGGCACGCGGAGTCCGTGACCGCTGTTGTAAATGACCTTGATCACAGTCGTAAGAAGAGTGTTGGAAGTGTAAAGAAGATTTCAATGTATTTTTAAGGGGTGCATCGGGCATCTTTAAAAAGAAAATTATTTATAAAAACGTGTTAACAAAAACTCAAAGTTTGTGTTTTCATTTGACCCCCCCCCCCCGGAAATATTTAACCCTATATTTGCCGATGCATGCATATGTGAATTATGATTCCTTTATATGACAATTTTTTTGCATAAAAAGACTATAAATGACTCATCATTTCAAAATTATTTGTATCACAATCTTGTAATATAAGAAAATTTTGTTCGTTTATAAAGAAAAAAAATTAATTGTGTTCCCCGACCTAGAATTCCTATACTTCACATGTATAGCAACGCACTAAATTTTGTGTTTTATTTTTCACGCCTGCCTTATCTGTCTATTATTTTATATTAATTACCCATATGTTCTTGTAATCTCTATATACCATAATTGTAAAATGATGAAGAGATTCTAATAAATGAATGAAAAGGACAAGACCGGATTCCTGATGAATTTTCTTTAAAAAAAATGTTCAGCATTGCTCCCTTTAAAAAATGTATTAAATCAAATACCTTAACATTGGTGTGCATATAATTAATTACTTTTAACACATTTTCTTTCCATCTTTATTTAAATAAAAAAAGAAAGAAAATCAAACAAATGTGAAATACATTACCGAGTAATTTTATTTTGTTGTTTTCGTATTTTTTTTTTCTTAAAATACCACCGGTATGATATATCCGAATAATATTAGTAACAAACAACACAAAATGACATGTTAATCCATCAATAGCCATATCTAAAATAAAATGACTTCCGAATGAATCCTACACGTTTCTCACACGATTCTTGCACGAAAGTCGCACGTTTCTCACACAGTTCTTACACGAAAGTCGCACGTTTCTCACACGCTTCTCGCACGCTCGCTACACGGTTTGCACGAAACGCTTTGGAGCTTACACGAAACGCTGCACGGTTTACACGAAACGCTACACGGTTTGCACGAAACGCTGCACGGTTTACACGAAACGCTACACGGTTTGCACGAAACGAAAAGCGCACGAAAGTTACACGCTTTTTTGGGGTAGTAGCACGTTTCAGGGTCTGTAATAAATCCAAAGAAAAAAAAAGTAAAAAAAAAAAAAAAAAAAAAAAAAAAAGTCGACCGGGATTTGAACACGGCACCTCTCACATGCTAAGCGAGAGTCATACCCCTAGACCACAGAGGCCCTTGATTATACAGCGAATAAAATGCAAACATAAGGTCACTATATAATGTTTATATTCACATTCGATGTTGTCAAAATTTTACAAAATACATGGTGTCTAATTAAGCGTTTACTAAACAGTTCTAATAGATGAACATGTAATTAGAATATAAAGTCCGCCGACAACCTGTATTATACGTAATAACTCTCCAGATGTCCCGTGCTAAAAATAGTGCTAAACGACTTCTTAATAGTAATAGTATATAAATTAAAAAAAACGGGGCGGGACACTTGGCGAGGGATGAGAGAGGTCAAAGGGTGTTATGGTGTAAAATTTCATTGCAAAAGCTCAAAAGCTTCTTGAGATATCGCCCGGAAAAGAAAGTGTTACACACAGACGGAATGTATGAATTTACGATCTTGAGCTTTGACCTTTTGACCTCAAAATCAATAGGGGTCTTCCATAGGCCACAAGGAGTTGTTATGTAAAATTTCATCACAAAAGCTCAAAGGCTTCTCGAAATATCGCGCGGAAACGAAAGTGTTAAAACAGACAGAATTTATTACCTTGACCTTTGACCTTTTGACCTTAAAATAAAGAGGGTTCTTCCTTAGGCCATAGGGAGTTGTTATGCAAAATTTCATAGCGAAAGCTCAAAGGTTTCTCGAGATATCGCGCGGAAACGGAAGTGTTACAGACAGAAATACAGATGGACGGACGGACAGACAGACCCAAATTTTTATCCCCAACATTCAGTGAAAGCGTGGGACAAAAATGATATCTTTGGTTGTTTCTGCGGGAATTTATGTTGAATTGTTTCAGAAAAAATAACTCAGGTAATCGAGAAAGAAAGACACTTCATTCTTTTCATTCATTTCTTTTACAAATAATCATAAACAAGCTAATTCAGAGAATTTTTGTCCCCCGCTTAGGGAAAAAAGAAGAGCATGCGCAGTTCAGGGGGGGGGGGTGTCGGACCCCCCCTCCCCCGGATTTGTAGAATTATTAAAAATATACATGTATATTGAAGCAAATAAAAAATGCCAATATGGATATAAAGATTTGATTGCTTATTCTTTAAAATGTGTGTAGAAGATTCTTTTTATATAGAATATTAATCACACATTTTTATTTCACATGTTGAATACAATCATTTAGTTTATAATAATAATAAAAAAAGAAAAAGCTTCGTCGGAGAATTGAACCCGGTCTCTCGCTTGCTAAGCCAGCATCATACCCCTAAACCACCGAGGCACTTGATTGTATAGCAGATTAAATGCAAACAGTAGGTCACATATAATGTTTATATTCACGTTCGATATTGTCAAAATTTTAATCAATACATGGTGTCTAATTTAGCCTTTACTAAATAGATGTAATAAGAATATAATGTCCGCCGACAACCTGTATTATACGTAATATCTCTCCACATGCCTCTGTGCTAAAAATAGTGCCATGCGACTTTTAATACAATACATGTAAATAATAATTAAAAAAAACGGAGCGGGACACTTTGAGAGGTGTAAGAGAGGCCCTAATGAGTTATGAAATAAAATTTCATTGCAAAAGCTCTAAAGCTTCTTGAGATATCGCCCGGAAAAGAAAGTGTTACACACTAACGGAATGTATAAATTTACTACCTTGAACTCGGACCTTTTGACCTCAAAATCAATAGAGGTCTTCCTTAGGCCAAAGGGAGATGTTATGTAAAATTTCATTGCAAAAGCTCAAAGGATTCTCCAGATATCGCGCGGGAACGAAAGTGTTAAAACAGGCAGAATTTATTAATTTTGACCTTGACCTTTGAACTTTTGAGCTCAAAATTAATAGGGTTTTTCTTTAGGCCATAGGGAGTTGCTATGCAAAATTTCATTGCGAAAGCTCAAAGGGTTCTCGAGATATCGCGCGGAAATGAAAGCCTTACAGACAGACAGAAATACAGACGGACGGACAGACAGACCCAAATTAATATCCCCCACTTTCAGTGAAAGCGGGGGACAAAAAGTAGGATCAAGTACATCAAACGTGTGTTTCACTGATGGCTTGCTTAGCAGCGTTTTGTATTGTTAAACGACCATGGTTTTCATTAAAAATAAATAGGGAGATTATATTCAGTGGATGTAAATATTTTTCTACACAGATCAAGAGAGGCCAATAGGGATCACTGCATGTATTGATCTACTTATATCTTGATAGTGACAAATGGGAGGGGGTTAGCACTTGCTAATACAAGCAAGTAAAGAAATTTACTTTATGATTTTTTTTTACTGAGTATTAGACTATATAATTGATCCCTGAATATCCTATTCCTCATGCTATTCGGCATAATATTTTTGTTTATCAGTTTGTTTTGTTTTATTTTAGACTTCCATGACTTCTTTACAGTTTCAATAGTATTATACTCAGATGACTGTTAAGGCCCTTGGGCCTCTTGTATTAATTGTTCATATATATATATATATAATAAAAACTTACTGCTACAATTTATCATTCAAGATTTTTTTTTCATTTATAAATAGGTTTACCCATGCTTTTTCACCATGTATGCAGTATAATGGGAATGACTATTGGAACTGTTACTGGGAGATATGGAACTGAAATGATAGCTACAATATTTGGGAGTGAAATAACAAATCCTCTTTTACAAATTCGTTGGTTTTTACGAGAAACAGGAAATTATGAAACTGTTCTCGGGGAAGTTGTTGACCATAGCTTTATGTTTTTGTTTGGTTTCTTTCGTATTGGAATTGGATCATACTTGCTGTTGAGGTATTTCCAACAAGATACAGACTTTCTGGGTCGTTTTGGGGCAGTGGTGATTTATGCTATTAGTTGGATGTTTTGGATTAATATTATGGTTTATGCAGGAAAGAAATACAAAAAAAGGTTTCAAACATTTCAGCAGAATAATTTCAAAAGAAATAATGACTCAGTTTACAATAATGGTATATTACTTAATGGTGGTGTTTTCTATTCCAATGCTCAAAACCGCTGTGATACCTCAGGACTTTCAAACGGAAATTCATCAAAAGTACATGCAAAGCAGTGTAATGGACGTAGCAAAACATCCTAGTGACAGAAATGAAACTACAGTATTTTGTACTGCAGATTGAGATAGAAGGGTAATAGCAATATAACAGTAGCAGTATGTTTGAATGATGGCATTTTTTAAATAATTTTTTTTTTTATTTTCTCGGTAGATTTAGGTCTGAAAGATTCTTGTGAAGGATAATTGTAGCATAAATTTTGAATAAAAGAATACAATTGGAAATCAAATGGAGCTTTAACTAGTTAAAATTTATTCAATATGTATAGTAATGTTCAATATATACAGTAATCTGAATTGGTGAAACCTGTTTAAGATCACCTGAGCTAAAGTTGAGGCGAATTTTTCAGATCAAAGAGTGCCTGGTGTGTGTCTACATTATTCATACGTGATGTTGTTCGGAAAATTTTCAAATTTTGAACTTTCTCTTCTGAACTACTGTGCCAATTTTTACCAAATTTGGAACATCAGTACCTATATACGTGTTGTTATTTATTTTACAAATTTTCTATGTTGGTTCTCGCAAATGGCTGGGACAATCTTGTGGGAACATCACAAAAGAGGAGGGAAAAACAGCTGTTGTATTACAGTGAACACTCAGTTTTAAAATGGCTACTTTTGCCATGGAAACTTACGAGAAGTGAAGAATTAAACGGCGAAAATTTTCTGTTTTTGCATCATTTTTAGACGGTGGCTATTTATAGCCACAGGCTTATGCTGCCGTTCTTGGTTTTGAATGAACAACATTGTATCCTTAGTGGAACCTTGGCGGCATTTTTTGCAGAGACAAACTAAAATGAGTTGGTTTTGATGCTTGAAAATAAAATGTACATGGCTAACAAATCCTCAAGTTATTTCCATTTTTTTATACCCCCGCTCCGAATGAGAGGTGGGCATACTGATTTACCCTTGTGTGTCTGTCTGTCTGTGTGTCTGTCCGTCACAAATTTTGGTCGCAGTTTTTTCAGCAACTACTCATTGCAGATGCTTGTTTTAGCACATTCTTTGTTTAGGCATGCCATATGATGGGATTCATTTTTTTACAATTCCGATGTCAACTTCCTGTTTATCCGTGCGTCTGTCCGTAGCATACGTAACAAATTTTGGTTGCAGTTTTTTCAGCAACTACTTATTGCTGGTGCTTGAAATTTTAGCTCACTCTTTGTTAAGGCATGCCACATGATTGGATTCATTTTTGTGCGAATCCCATGTCAACTTCCTGTTGATCCGTGCCTCTGTCCGTAGCATACATAAATTTTGGTCGCAGTTTTCTCAGGAACTACTCATCGCAGATGCTTGAAATTTTAGCACATCCTTTCTTTAGGCTTTCCATATGGTCGGATTCATTTTTGTACGAATCTGATGTCAACTTTCTGTTTATCCGCGCGTCTGTCCGTAGCATACATAACAAATTTGGTCGCAGTTTTCTCAGGAACTACTCATCGCAGATGCTTGAAATTTTGGCACAACCTTTGTTTAGGCATGCCATATTTTGGGAACATTTTTGTGTGGATCCGATGTCAGCTTCCTGTTTATCCGTGCATCTGTCCGTACCATACATATCAAATTTGAGTGATAGTTTTCTCAGCAACCTACTCATCGCAGATGCTTGAAATTTTAACACACTCTTTGTTTAGGCATGCCATATGGCGGGATTCATTTTTGTACGAATCCGATGTCAATTTCCTGATTATCACTGTGCCTGTCCTTAACTGAACTTGGGTATTCACATCAGAGCGGGGGTATTATTAGTGAGCACTGGCTCACAGACTTGTTTTATGAGCGCATAGATTACTTGCCGTAAATATATTTATTTATTTGAGAACACCGACATACAATCAACTCGTACACAAACAGATTCGTACTAAAGAAGACAGTTCGTACACAAACTACAGAAAGCAAAACATACTAAAGTTGTACTGTTTTATGAACATGATACACGTTTTTAGCTCACCTGAGGCGAAGGCTCAAGTGAGCTTTTCTGATCAAAATTTGCCCGTTGTCTGCCGTTGTCGTTGTAAACTTTTCACATTTTCATCTTCTTCTCCAGAACTACTGGGCCAATTTCAACCAAACTTGGCACAAAGTTTCCTTGGGTGAAGGGGATTCAAGTTTGTTCAAATGAAGGGCCACGCCCTCTTTCAAGGGGAGATAATTACGAAAAAAGCGAAAAATTAACGGCTTCATTGAAAAATCTTTTCAAGAACCAATGGGCCAGGAAAGATGAAACTTATGTGGAATCATTGTCAGGTAGTGTAGATTTAAGTTTGTTCAAATCATGACCCCCGGGGGTAGGGTGAGGCCACAGTGAACGATCAAAGTTTAACATTGCAATATATAGGAAAAATCTTAAGATCTTCTCAAGAACAGCAAAGCTATAATTGGTCATATTTATATGGAAGCATCCTCAGGTGGTGTAGAATCAAGTTTGTTCAAATCATGACCCCCGGGGGGTAGGGCGGGGCCACAATGGACGATCAAAGTTTAACATAGGAATATATAGGAAAGATCTTTAAATATCTTCTTCTCGAGATCAACAAAGCCATGATTGTTCATATTTATGTGAAAGCATCCTCAGGTGGTGTAGAATCAAGTTTGTTCAAATCATGACCCCCGGGGGTAGGGTGGGGCCACAATGGACGATCAAAGTTCGACATATGGGTATATAGGAAAAATCTTAAAAAATTTTCTTCCCAGAAAAGCAAAGCCATGATTGGTCATATTTATGTGAAAGCATCCTCAGGTGGTGTAGAATCAAGTTTGTTCAAGCCATGACCCCCGGGGGTAGGGTGGGGCCACAATTTACGATCAAAGTTTTACATGGGAATACATAGAAAAAATCTTTAAAAATCTTCTCGAGAACAACAAAGCCATGATTGGTCATATTTATGTGAAAGCATCCTCAGGTGGCATAGATTCAAGTTTGTTCAAATCATGACCCCCGGGGGTAGGGTGGAACCACAATGGACGATCAAAGTTTAATATAGGAGTATAAAGGAAAAAGCGTTGAAATACTAAACTGATTTTTGTTTTTTTTTTCCTAGTGCTCAGGTGAGCGATATGGACCCTGGGCCTCTTGTTTTAAAGTACATGTTCGTTGTGTAAATATTAAATTTTAGTAATTTTTTTTTTAAAGTCAGAAAAATTTGAAAAACAAAAATATAATTGGTGAATGGTTTCACATTTTAACACATTCCCGTTTGAAAGGCAGAGACTTTTTACTTGGTGGTAGATTTTAGGTGAGGGAGTACACAGGTGTAAGCAGGTGTAAGTGCTAATTGTTGGGCCGTTGTTTATACACCTAATTCTCTACGGATTTCTTCGTTATTGCCCAATCGTGACGGGTGGCACCTGATCCCACCTCTAAATTCTGAGGTCCATGTTTGTTTCAAATTTGTATCGTTTCATTGGACTATCGAGATTGAATACTGTTCATTATCTTCATATTTCATTTAGGGCTTTCAGTCTATTTACGGTCGTATTATCTGACAATCCCTATAAACAGGAAATGACATATACAGTAAAGACTCTTCTTTTTTTTTTTAACTTTACTTGTGTTGTATTAATTAACCCCCTTCCCCCGCAGTAAGGCATTTTAACGCATATACCGTGATCTCGCAGTCACGCATTTGAAAGCATATACCTTTTCCCCGCAATCACGCACATTAACGCACATTTCGTTTTTGACGTTTTCTGCTCTGATAACGCGTAAAGTTTTGATGGTTTAATGATGAATGATTAGGAAATAAATTTTGTTTTTAATTCTTTCCTAAAGTATTTGACAGAGGAGAGGAAAAGTCCCTTGAGCTGAAAAAAAATGTCATCCAATTTTTTTCATTAAGGTCTTTCGTCTTCACGGAAGACCTTATAGTGATTCTATTGTTTCTTATTATTATTAGAGTCTTTCGTCTTCAGCGGAAGACCCTTCTATTATTCTTAGGTTTCTTTTTTACCTATATTATTATTCTTTTTTCTTTTTACAAAATTTGTGCAGAAGATTTCTCGGAGATGGCTTGTTCGATTTTATTCAAATTTTCGTGGTAGATGCGTTGACATCTGAAGTTAATTCCGGCATGTCTGTTAAGGGATATTTACTTCCGGTCGAAAGTTATCGCCCTTTTATTAAGATTCAGAGGACCCCGTTGTCTGCGATGGAACTCAAAAACGGCTTAAGCAGTGATTATAGAGGACATGTTGCCATTATGCACCTGGATTTAGATATTTTTCGGAAGTGCCTAGTATGGAAGCTCGGTAGGGGTCGAAATTTAGGACACGAATCATGAATGAATTTTTGAGACATTTTGTATCATATCTTTTAAAGTATAATTATTTTGTTAAAACATATTGAACAATATTTGTGCAGAATGAAAATATCTGAAACATGATATCAAGAAAAAAGCGCTGACTCATCACATAAGGGGCCGATAGGGGCCAAAAGTCTTTAATCGATAACCCTTAAACAATCAATATTTTTGTATACATTACTGAAGCAAAAATATTTATCTTAACAAACTACAACTATATATTATGATTTTTACGTCATATGTCACATAAATAGGGGCCACAAAGGGCCAGAATGCTTAATCTTTGACGCTTTATATTTCGAAAAGGGGAAAACATTTTGAAAAGCAATATTGAACAAAAGGTGCTAAGAATAATGTTCTCAACAATGTGCATCCTTTTAATTTTTCCTGAACAGCCCCTATCAGGACTTAAAGGGACGGCCCCTAAATATTTCAAGTCTACATATCTCGAAAACGAAACGAAACTTTTGAATAGTTGTTGCACAAAAAGTCTTCAGAATTACAAGACCTTTCATTTGATATCAAGAGAAAGGGGCTGACCCCTCAAATTAGGGGCTCAGAGGGGCCAAAGATCTTTCACCTATAACTCTTTAACGTTAGATATTTTGATATTAATTATTGAAGCAAAAATGTTCATCTTCACAATCTGCAACCATATATTTTAAAATTTTCATCAAATATTACGTAATTAGGGGCCATAAGGGGCAAGAATACTTAATCTTTGACGCCTTATATCTCGATAAGGGGAAAACATTTTGAAAAGCAATATTGAACAAAAGGTGCTAAGAATAATGTTCTCAACAGTGTGCATCCTTTTAATTTTTCCTGAACAGTCCCTATCAGGACTTAAAGGGACAGCCCCTAAATATTTCAAGTCTACATATCTCGAAAACGAAACGAAA